GAGATGTGATGCGGACGTGTAGTCTATGACCTACCCTCTATCCTGTGTGTTGGAGCCTTCCTCTGGATGTTTGGTGTGAAAGAACTGAGGGGGATCAGAATGGCCCCACCTTATATAGCCAGGAAGTGGCTATGGGCACTGCTAAGTAAAAATGTTTGGTGCATGCACACACCTACTTGGAATACACATCTGCATCACAACTTGAAGGACCACCATTTCTTTGCTGTCAAACTGAGAAGGCTTATCTAATGGGGTCCCACAAGGGTCAGTTGTGGGTCTGGTACTAGTCAATATTTTCACAATGACTTGAAGTGGAGAGGATGTTTATAAAATTTCCAGTTGACACCAAGCTTGGAGGGGTTGCAAGCACTGTGAAGGACAGGATTAGAATTCAAAAACATTGACAACTTGAAGAATTGGTCAGAAATCAACAAGATGAAATTTTGTAAAGATGAGCAATGTATGTTACCGAGGAAGGAAAAATCAAATGTACAACTACAAAATGTGAATAAGTGCCTAGGAGGTAGTACTACTGAAAAAGATCTAAGGTGGATATTGAACTGCAAATTAAATGAGTCAACAATGTGATACAGTTGCAAAAAGGCTAATATCATTCTGGGGTGTTTTAACGGGTGGTAATTCTCCTGCTCTACTTGGCACGGGGGAGGCCTCAGCTGGAGTGCTAGATCTATTTCTAGGTGCCATACTTTAGAAAAGAAGGGGACAAATTGGAGAGCAACAAAAATGATAAAAGGTTTAGAAAACTTTACCTATGAGGAAAGGTTAAAAAAACTAGGCATGTTTAGTCTTGAGAAAATAATATATCTCAGAGCAACAGGAAAGGATTATTGGAGCACTGCAGGAGAAAGTTAATAATCTTGAGGAAAGATCAAGGAGAAACAATTGGAGAATTGTGAGCCTTCCAGAGGGACTGGAAAAAGGGAGGCCCTAAGTGGAGTTCCCCAAACATTTCAATCCAAACATGTTGGTTTAGATAAAACAAATGTATTAACTATAGAAAGATTTTAATTGATTACAAGTAATGGACATAAAAGTCACAATTGGTTACAAAGAAATAAAAGGCACAACACAATTAATACATAAGTGAATTCAAAGCAAAAGGCTGTCTCACCACAATTGCCAACAGTCTTACTGGCTGACTCTTTGTCAGGGTCTTCCTCCAGTCCAATGCTGCTTCCTTTCTTCTTCAGGTAGTGTTAATGCCATTGGTATAGAGAAAGGGAGAGATGGTTTGGGGCATCAGCTCTGTCCCCTTACAGTCATTTCTCTTGCACAAGAATAATTTCCAGTGGAGGTTCAGGAAACGAAGTCTAGGTGGACAGGAATCTCAAGTTACTTCTGTCACAATGTAGATTTTTTTTTTTTTGCTCACACCTTTTCTCCTGCTGGAGTGTATCCACTTAATCAGGTGATGGTCCATTTGATCTCATTGACACCTGGCTGAGGCATTGGCTAGCTTTTTGTCTCCGGGGAACTGGTTTGTGACTGTTCACGAGGACATGTTGGAACATGTCTCAGTAATATCACACAGTGGAATGTTATAACTTTATTACATACAATGTTGTCACACATTTTACCAAGAAAATAATGATCAGCAAATCATGAGTTTTCACATGACACCTCACAAGGCATATTTTGTACAAGTTTCATCATAATCCTCTAAAAGGGGTTAACATAGGGGTAAAAACTGTCCCATGCTCCCACTTCCACAAGAGCCTGTACTTCTTGAAATAATATGGTCTCATGAGATGGATCCCTGAAGAAGGATGGGGAAAAGGGAAGAAAGTGATTTAGATAAATCTCTCCATTACTGTGGTGTGGACCCACTTGTCTGACATGATGCTTTTTGCATACAGTTTCCCACAATTCTTGATGTCTAGGTTTGATGTCTTGATGCTCTCCTCTTTCTGCAGCTCATGGAGGTGGATTTGAATTTTAGAATTGCAGAGTCTAGCCACACCCCCTCAGCTTCTGCTTGCTTCTAGTTTCTCTGTCTCTGCAGCAGTGTGCGGTCAGTGGGTTTTACAGCTCTTGCCTTCATATCTGCCGGAGGGGATTTTTTTCTGGTCAAAATTTGAGGAGTCGTGAGCAATGATCTCCATCTCAGCTCCATCTTCCTCGTGGCCATTTTTTTAGAGGGGTGTTAGAACTCCTTGAGCCTAACTGCAATGTCTCCCTGCTGACTTCTCTGCATCTTCCAGGGACGGCAGAGTAGCCTAAAAAGCACTGAATGAAATCTAAAGGGTGCTCTAGTTATGTGATGGCTATCCTAGGCTTGACAGATGGTGAGTTGTACCCAGCCTTCTGTCCCTAACTGTTAGATCTTGGCGCTATGATTCAGACCGTTATCGCTGGAGCAGCTGCAAGTCTGACATATAGAAATGGAGTCTATGGGTGGAACGAGAGGTTCCAAGGACATTTACATTAATGATTTAGAACCGCGGTTCTCAAACTTTAGCAAGCCAAGGACCCCCATTTTGATTTAAAAATTTTTATGGACCCTCAAGTCCCCTGCTTAGCCCCAGGCCCTCCTCCCACTCCTCCAAGGCCCCATCCCACTGGCACAGCCAGCATGGGATATTTGGGTGGGCCTTGACGTCTGGTGGGCAGGCAATTATGGGGGGTTGGGAGCCCCCCATCCCCTGCAGCCAGTCTTGCGGGGGGCAATGGATAGACCATTTGGCCTGGGGCTCTGGGCATGCACCCAGCTCCGGGAGGAGATGCTACTCTCCAGCGTGGTGGGACCTGGAAGGGAGCCTGCGCCCCAGGTCCCCCAGGCAGTGGGCCCACCTTTTTTGAAGATCTCCTCTACTGCTGCTGGCTGCCCTTCTCCCCGTGACAGATTAGCCATTGGGGCAACTCAGGGCCCAGGAAAAATGTGTGCGCCCATGCCCCCACCCGTTCCGCCCAGCGCTCCTGCTGGGGGGTGGGGTAGGAGCATGGGGGCTTGGTCTGCTCCACCCACCCCACCAGCGCTCCAGCCTGGGAGTGGGGACAGGATGCAGGAGCTTGCCCCATTCCGCCCTCCTGCCTAGTGCTCTAGTTGGGGTGTAGGGGCTTACTCCACCCACCAGCGCTCTACCCTGGGAGTGGGGTCAGGACACGGAGGCTTGCCCCGCTCCTCCTGCCCGGCTCCAGAAGGCGCGTCAGGCAAGGCAGAGCGGAGCACACGCCTGTGCCCTGACCCCACTCCCTGGCAGGAGTGCCGGACACGTGGGTGGAGTGGAGCAAGCACTGGGGCCAGAGCAGAGTTGGGGCTGGGCCTGGATGCTAAGTGGGTTGGCCCTGGCTCACCCAGGCTATGCCCCTGACCTACCCCCATCCCACCTCTTTCCGGCCCTCCCCTATGCATGCCTCATCCCCGCTCCTCCTCCTCCCTCCCAGTGCCTCCTGCACACCGCAGAACTGCTGTTCAGCAGTGTGCAGGAGGTGCTGGGAGGGAAGAGGAGGAGTTGATCAGCGGGGCTGGCGGCCTCAGACATGACTCTCAGACCCCCTGGAGTACCCTCACGGATCCCAGTTTGAGAAACGCTGATTTAGAAGAAAATATAAAATGATCCCTGATAAAAGTTTGCAGATTGCACACAAACTGGGGGAGTGGTAAATAATGAAGAGGACAGGTCACTGATAAGAGCAACCTAAGGGTGAGATTAATTAACCATTGGAACAATTTACCAAAGGTCATAATGGATTCTCCATCATTGACAATTTTTAAATCAAGGTTGGATTTTTCTCTAAAATACATGCTCTAGGAATTATTTTGGGAAAGTAAATGGCCGGTGGTAGACAAGCAGTCAGACTTCAAGCCTTGGAATCTATGAAATCCACCTCAGGGCAGAGGCCATCTAAATGGATTGTGTTCTCTATATTAAGAACTACTATTTGCAGGCAGCTAGCCTTAACAGCCCTTTCTGCCAGGGATAGGAATCTTTTGTGTATTTACTCCCTTTCCAAAATATGCATAATAGTCACACATACTTGTACTAACATTCCCCTCACAAGTCAGTAGCTAGATTGGAGGCCTCTTTGGGAGCGCTCTTAGTCCCCTTTTAAGTCTAGATGTTACTACTTGTTAGGTCTATAGAATTAGTGATCTGTTTAAGTTATTTAATGAGGGAGAAAAAGTAGGTTACTTACCAGCAAATGGAAAATGTGAGTATATTACCCCTACATCCATCCTCTTCTGTTTCTTTGAAGCCTCTGAGTAAGCCAGACAGGCATTTAGGGAATAATGGAGTGGGGCCATGCCTCTTGATAAATTTGGCATTTATCTGTTTATGCATTGAAGTGTGTGGCCTTCTTTTAGTGTTAAAAGCCAGTGCTTTTAATGGGTTCCTAGATTTGCATGGATCTATTGAAACAATGTATTTGGGGAGTCACCAGGAACTGGAGTATCTATTTTTAACAGGCTGTAGGGTTTGCTCTGGAGGATAATCGCCCCGCCCCAGGCAAGGGCAACTGTTCTGCCTTAGCAACCCTCAACCCCTCTTCTGAGCAGATGGGCCTGAGGTCTAAACTCTGGATCTCCTCCCTCGAGCACTAGGCCTTACATATTGGTGCCCCGACTTTTGTAGCTATTCTAGGTCAACAATCTGAAAAGACAAACGCTCAAACCCGCAGGTGCCTAAATCGATATTCTTCTAAAGGAGCTAAATATGTTCAGAGATGGCTCATTGACCATCAACTCCCGTGCCCTTACTCACGGACCAACCCCTGTCCCCCTCAAAAAGTGCTTTCCTTGCAGGCAGGGGATGGCTTGGAAACCTGCTTTGTTACCCGCCCCAGCCCTTCCATTCACACCGCCTTTCCCGTGCGACGGGCCCTTTGTTACCGCGGCCCTGGAGTTAATCCCCATTTAACCTCTTCTCCGCTACCTTCTTCTCCAGGGGGGGGAGGGGCACAGAGCCAACGTTGGCACGGAGCCGGGAGCCTTCCCCACCCCCTTGGATGCCCGGGGAGGGCTGAGGGGAGACGGACACTTTGGACTCTAGAGCGTCCAGCTGCTCAGGAACCAGCTGAGCCCGCCAATAGCAGGCGGGCGGCAAGAGGCAGCTGCCGCCGGGCGCTGAGGGCTCCGGGCTGCCGCGCCAGGGGCGGAGAGGAGCGGCGGTGGCAGGCAGGGCGCGCTGCTGAACGCTGGAGGGGGCTCTCGGCCGCCTCCTCCTCCTCCTCCTCCAGCCGGCGGCTCCCTCTCTCCACTTCCCCCTCCGGGAGGGGGCAGGTTTAGGGGAGGGGTAGCGGCAGCAGCGAGCGGCGTCCAGTTCCCGCTTCCCCCGGTCCGTAGGAGGCAGCGGAGCTCCGGTCCCTCCCGCTCCCCCGCGCCCGGCCGCCGCCGCCCTCTCAGTGCCGAGCCAGCCAGGCGGACATGGCGCCCCTGATTCAGCTGTCCCCCTGCTGCCCTGCCCCCGCCGCCTCCCCGCGGAGCCTTTAATGGCTCGGACCTTCGGCGGCCGAGCCCGACTCCTCCTGCGCCAGCCAGAGGGAGCCTAGCGAGCGGGAGCCGAGCAGCCCCAACGCCGCGCACGGTGAGAGCCGCCCGGGGAACAATGGGCTGCTGGGGGTGGGGGGAGCGACTGCACCGAGCGGCCCCGGCGGGTGTGTGGACCGACCGCTGCGGGGTGGGTGGAAAGAGCCTCCTCGCCCCCGCCCCTAGCCGGTGCCTGCAGCGGGGCGCTGGCCGCGGGGGAGAGACGCAGCCCCTGCGATCCGCGGGGGGCCCCGCCGGCGCGCAGTTGCTCAGCCCCGGGCGCCGGGCTGCGGCCGGAGCAGAAGTTGGTGCCTTTTGGTTGCTCCCGTTGCGGGGAAGTTGTTCGTGGGAGGAGGGGGCGGCTGTCCGGGGCTGTGCGTGGGTGCGAGCCCCAGTGGCTGCAGCCCCGGGATGCGGGGCCCTTTGGGACACCCTCCTCCCTCTTGTCCCGGAGCGGGCGCGGAGCTGCTGCCAGCCTGGCGGGATGTGCTCGGGGGTCGGGCTGAGCGGGGGGCGCTCCCCGGTAGCTGGGGGGTCGGACCGACGGGGGCAGAGCCGCTTTCACGTAGACAATTGACTGCGAGAGGGGCGCGTTCAGAGCCCCGCTCCGGGAGCAGCGCGACCCGTGTAGGGAGGCTCCCTCAGGGAGCAAGGCGCTTTGGTGTCTTTATTGAAAGGCCTTCCCACCCTCTTCCCAAATCCTCGGTGTGATAGGCGTCACCGCCTATCATCAGGGCTGTCCAGAGGATTCAGGGGGCCCCTTCCATTAAAAAAAAAGTTGCAATACTATAGTAACATGTATTTGGAAATGTAAAAAATAACCAGTGAAATACAGGCAAAATTAATTTGTAATAATTTGAAAATACACAAAATACATTATTTAAAATCATTAAATGCTTTAATGGTATGTATATATTTGCAATTACATAATGGGCTGTCGCTGGGTGATGGTTGGTGCCAATGGGCTGTCGCTGCCTGGGGGTGGCGCTGCTGTTGCCCAGGGCTGGGTGGGGAGCTGGGCTCTGGGCCGGGGGGGGGGGTGGCTTGTCTCACAGGGTCGTGGGCGTTGGAGGCTGGGGGTCGAGGGCGTATGGGGGG